AGGGAGATCCAGACGGCCGTGCGCCTGCTGCTGCCCGGGGAGCTGGCCAAGCACGCCGTGTCCGAGGGCACCAAGGCCGTCACCAAGTACACCAGCGCCAAGTAAACAGTGAGTTCACTGCAAACTCAAACCTAACGGCTCTTTTAAGAGCCACCCATATTCTCAAAGACAGAGCTGGTGCTTGTTTTCCTTCTGTGCTGGGCCGTTTTGTAACTCCTTACTATATTTAGTCTGCGAAGTAGAGTAATTACTGAACAATCTTTTAGGGACCTTGCTGTCACAGTAAGCTCGATATCCACTAATGACAAAAACAACGTTGCTGACCCTGACAAAGCTCGAACTATAAACTAACATAACGCCAGGAGCTTTTTATTGTCATTAGGAACTTCGTACATTTAAAAGGGCTCTGCCAACAGTTGTGATAACTATTAGATTACGTAACGATGGAACAGAAAGTTTTAAGTTCGAAGCAAATTCAAACACTCCCCGGCCATCTGTGAGGGACAGAGTTGGATTCATGCCCGGGTGCAGAGGTTGCGCGGGCAGTTTGAATTTGCCCGGGGAGCCGCCCGCCTTTCCTCTCCGCGTCCTGATTGGTTGCCGGCATCCGGGGCGCAATCGCGGGTTGGGTGCGCGGGAGGAATCCACTTCCCCCCTCCCCCAGCCCAGCGCACACAAGCTCTTTGAGTAAATACTGTTGGGTAATCCATTCTACTTTTCATCTTTTTCCTTTTCTTGAGCGTTTTATCCCTTTCGGGAATGAGATTTATCATTTCTTGAAATTTTCCTTGGAGAGAAAGGAATTTGAAGGATGTAGTTTTCAATCTGAGAAACACCAGTGCTTAGTTTCTAATTAGGATACTGCTTTCCTTTTGCCGTATAACCATGTAATAGAAAATATAAGACGAAACAGGACTATTTGTGGTCCCATGAAGGCAGAGAAGCTTGAGTGCATTTATCCCAGACTCTCTTCTGAAACAAAAAGTCAGTTTTCTATTTTTAAGTTCCTTTGGTTAGTATTTTAAATCCTATTTTTGACTTTGCCTGGACCCAGTGAGGAGAAACAAATCTGGCGTTATTCAAGTTGTCATAAATGAGAACCAGTCACCCAACGAACAATAATTTTCTGTAGATTATAACTATTCGAAATTCCGTCTTTTTTAGGTAAAAAGCCTTGATGGATAAAGCATTCGGAAGCTTCCACTATGGCTGGTTTTGGTTTAGGGAGTAATTTTAAATGAATTTAATTTAAATAAGTAAATTACTACCTAGGATAGCTAAAACATCTAAATTTAGCACCGTGATATCTAAAACAATATTTTGTTAAATCCAGTGTCCAATACACTCTTGTCCATTGTTGACTCAAATCCTGTCCATGTTTCAATGTCCACTTCAATCTTACCTGCTTTCTGAAATTTCTTCCCTTTTTTGACCTTCTTCCAACAGCTTGTCCAGCATTTGGAAACGGCCTCCATATTCTTTCTCATATGTATCAACTTGAGTTGCTACTAACTGCTTTGTTGTATGTTTCCACATAAGAGAATGTACACTCATCATGACATGAAAAATAAAGAAGGGAAGGAAGAAAGAAAAAAGTTCTTTTCCTTTACCATATCTATCCCACAGTAATGATAACCGCATCCTGTAAACAAACAGAACATAAATGACTTTTGTCATTTCTTATGTTATGTATTACATGAGCCCCCAATTCTTTCTATTAATCCACATAATCAGATGATAATTTCTAAGTTAAATAGTTGTTTTGTTGTTTCTTCGTCTTATAGGATGTAGAAATCAAATAAAAAACCAGAATTTGTGGCAAACGGAGAGGGATTGGGACAGAAGAGTCATAGGCAATAGTCCATCCCCAGATGAAAATTTGTAAAGACTACAGTTTTGAAAACTACAAAGTTGAAAAGGTCCCAGCCAATTCTCCTATTACTCAGAAAATTAAACTGCCTAAGAGATAAATAAATCAGGTAAATAAATTAAATTTTCTTCTTTTGGGTTATTTGCACCTTGATGGAGTCCCTTTACGAATAAGACAAGGGTTTAATCGTTTGCTTAAAACCAAATGCCATCAATTTAACCCATTGCTGGTCAGCTTCAGAAGAATTGATTCAAAGCTAAACTAACACAGTATGTCACTTAAAAAAAATGTACATTGTGATACAGCTTATTACAAAATAAATAGATAGTTGTTGCTCAAAATACTTATAACTAATTGTCAGGTCTTCCCCAGAGATCACGATCTGAAATGATGCCTTGGACATAGCCTTAGATGAACCAGCTGTGGGGTCTGCCGGGTGACATAGTAGTTAGGTTCGTGTGTTGTGCTTCAGCAGCCCAGGGTTTGCAGGCCCCATCTGGGTGCAGACCTATGCACCACTTATCAAGCCATGCTGTGGCAGGCATCTCGCATATAAAGTAGAGGAAGATGGACACAGATGTTAGTCCACTGCCAATCTTCCTGAGCTAAAAGAAGAGGATTGGCAACGGAGGTTAGCTCAGGGCTAATCTTCCTCAGCAGAAAAAAATAAAAGAGAGAGGAAAAAAAGAGATGAACCAGCTGTTTGTCAAGGACCTTTTTTCAAGCTATATCTAATGACTATATTTCCTTCTACTGTACACGTATTTCTTTTTAATCTACCATGGTTGCTGAAATCAAGGCACCCATTCCTTGAGGAGTTAATAGAGACACTGACAAAGTCTGTCGAAAGATTAGTGGTTCTATATCCAGATTCTATGCAGATATCTATTCTTCAATTACAACATTATCTTTGATATGTTAATTTAATCATAACATAAATTTTTGTTAATTTTATTTTCAATTTTTGATGATATATAGAAAATATCAAATTAGTAATAACTATATTTGCACACTACCCATTGATGACTTATTTTAAACTTTGATTTCAAAGTGTCACTTTTCCTGATAATGTCCCCAAATTTTGGATATGCAACTCTGTTTAGAGTTTGCATTGCATATTCTAAAGCATATTTGCATTCTGCACATAAATGTAAAGGGGAATTTTTGAATTTTAACTAAAAACTACGGATTCCTAAAGAACTTGTTTCATACATTATTAATATTTTCCCTGGTGTTTGCAAATATATCTGTGCTCATTCACTATGAAAACTGTACTATACACTTGACGTTGGGAAACCATTTTTTGTGTTCCTTATTATGACTTGCACGTTATCAGATCTACAAATCTGAAGTATACATCAGCACTTGATTATCTTGTGGAAGTGATATAAGACCTAGCTTAAGTACTGAAGGAAGAAAATAATTGCTAGAGCAAGTAGCTCACACTCCAATTATTTCTAGTTCTGAAGCACAGTTATGCTTTTTATTTTTTAATAACATTTTATTTTTATTAACATTTATTTTTTAATGATATGTTATAAACAATAATATTATTTTTAATAACATTTTTCCTATAAATTGTTGATTGAGAAAGACTCTCTAGGTTTGAAGCCTGGCCCTGCCACTTAAAATTTGTGTTGGCAAATTACTTTAATTTCTCTGGCTTTTTTTCTCATTTTAAAACGAGAATATAATAATGCTTCTCATGAATTAACACTTTTTACATGCTTAGAACAATGCTCTGCATATAGTAAGCATTCAACATATGTGAGCTAATACTACTACTGACACCAATCATTACAGCAGTAATTAGAAACAGTAATAATAATGTACCACTCAGAAGTATCCATGAAAGACGATAGGGAAGAGAGAAAAGTTACTGCCACTGGGAAGAATTGGATGCATTGCATCTCATTGTTTACTTTTTCTGGAAGGAGAAATGATCTAAGATATTGATCTAAACTGATTCATGTTCATGGCTAATGACTTGTCTGGACAGGCACAGATTTGAAGGGGACAAAACTGGAGGTTTGTGAACAAGAGGTTTTGTGGAACAGTGATGTGGATGCACTTCTCAGAATGATCCCTAAGTATAAAAAATTGGTGTTCCACGTGAATGCTAACCAAAAGGCCCACTCTTCAGAGGAACTATCAATAATCAGGCATACAACACCAACCATGAGGATGTCGCTAAGTCTTTCTTGCCAACACCTTTCTAACTGCCCAAGCAATTTGTCAACAAGGTGGCCAGGGTGGCAGTGGTAGAGGTCACACGTGAGTACAGACTTAGCTCACCAAGGCTGACCTGGATACTGACGCTGCTAAGTGTCCCATATGCTG